CGTACATTCTTATACTCTTTTTACGGTACCTACACATTTCCACACACTTTCTCAACATCCAATTTTTTTCAAGAAAAATCAAGTCATACCTTTGTTATACCATCATCTTTATACAACACAATTTGTCAAAAATTTCACAACAACACTAACAATATAGTCACCTTCGTATCTGAAATATAAAAGACTATCATGATAAAAACCATGGTTGTACTTGTACAAAATTTGCTTTTGTTGGAGCACAAGAAAGATAAAAGATAAAAGGAATATTTACTGATAGCTTCAAAAATAAGGATTTACAATGAATTACAATAACCTACTCCACTAGGCTATTTATACACATAAATTAAATCTAAAATATATCTTCTACAAAGATATAAGAAGATCTAAGATTTATATCTTCTAACAAAGATATAAACAATCTAAAAGATATTTCTAAATATAAATTAATATCTAATTAAATCTAAATAAATTCTAACACCATCCCTTAATTTATATTTACCCAAAATTGACAACGCCAATTCCATCCCTTAATCCAAGAAATTAATCAGTTTTGATAGCCTTTATCAGAACATCTGTCAGCTGCTTCTGGGTGCTACAGCACACAACCTCTATTATTCTATTCTGAACTTGATTCCTCAGAAAATGATACTTGGTCTCAATATGCTTTCTTCTCCCATGCAACACTGAATTCTTGACAAGATTGATTGCAGACTTGTTATCAATCATCAGCTTCAGAGGTTTACTTACCTCAATCTTCAGATGTTTCAGCAAGTTCATAATCCACACAACTTGACATGCAGTCAGAGCACCTGCAATATATTCAGCTTCACAAGTTGACAGAGCAACGACAAGTTACTTCTTGGAACACCGAGAAACAGGACCTCCCAGAAATTTGAATAAGTACCCATAAGTACTTCTTCTGTCAACTCTATCTCCGCACCAATCAGAATCAGAATAACTCAGAAGTTCTGATTCGATCTTCCTTCCAGACGGAAATAACACTCCATATTTCAGAGTTCCCTTCATATACCTCAGAATCCTGACTGCAGCTTGGTAATGAGACCACTTTGGTTTGCTCATAAATATGCTAACAATTCCAACTGCATAACAAATATCAGGTCTGGTATTACACAAATACCTTAGAGAATCAACCATCTGTTTGAAGGTTGTAGCATCCACATCCTCTCCATCAGAATCAGAATCCAACTTTTGATTCGTATCAGCAGGTGTGATAGCAACCTTGCAATTTTCTAGCTCAAATCTCTTAAGAAGCTCTAGTTCATACTTCATCTGATGTAAAATGATTCCTTTCTCAGAGTACATAAACTCCATCCTTAGAAAGAAACTCATTTTTCAAAGATCTGTCATCTCAAATGCATTCATCAGAACTTTCTTAAACTCAACTATCTCTTGCTCAGAACTTCCTGTGAGTAATATGTCATCAACGTACAAACAGACCAGAATCATATTACCTTCTGAAGTGTGCTGAACATAAACACCATACCCCATCTCACATTTCTGAAACCCTTGTTCCTTAAAAAACGAATCAATTTTCAAATTCCAAGCTCTGGGCGCTTGCTCCAATCTATACAAAGCTTTGTGTAATTTGAACACCATCTCTTCCTGATTTTTTCCTCAAATCCAGGAGATTGTGAGACATACACCTCTTCTTATAATGGATCATTCAGAAATGCTGATTTTACATCTAAATGCATCAGAGGCCAATTCCTGTTAGCAGCTATTGCAATCACTAGTCTGATTGTTTCATGTCTCGTCACAGGTGCAAACACTTCAAAGTAATCCAGCCCAGGCTTCTGTAGAAAGCCTCTTGCTACTAATCTCGCTTTGTGTTTTCCAATTGATCCATCTGGCTTTAGCTTATGCTTGAAAACCCATATGACGCTGATGGCTTTCTTTCCTTTTGGAAGTTCTGTCAACTTCCAAGTCTTGTTTCTCTCTATAGCATCAAGTTCTTCTTTCATGACCTGTAACCAAACTTGCTGCTTAAAAGCCTCTTCCGTACTCACGGGTTCAGAGTCTACTAACATTACACACTGAATAACTTCTCCTTTAGAGTCTACTTCAGTGTCTTGCAACATGTCAAACTCTGCAAATCTTCTTGGGATGCTTCTGACTCTTTGTTGCCTCTGAACTGGACCTTCAGAACTTTGGACACCAGAACTTTCCCCTTCAGAAGCACTTGCTTTAGAAATTGGACTTTCTCCAGAACCTTGACTGTCTTCAGAGTCTGGATCACCATCGGAGTCAGAGTCAGAATCATCTTCTCCTTCTGTATCTTCTTCAGAGTCAGAGTCTTTACCAACTTCAGAAACATGTATTTCTGACCTTTCTTCAGAAGTTCTGTCATCAGAGTCAGGACGAGACTTTTCCCAATTCCAAACTTCTGATTCCTCTATAATGACGTCTCTGCTAAACTCAACTTTATTAGTTTCTGGACAATAAAGTTTGTACGAACTTGTACTGTGATACTCCACCAGCAACATCACTTTACTTTTATCATCCAACTTCTGTCTTCTGGGACATATTTGTAACATACAGAACCAAATACCTTCAGATGACTAACACTTTGCTTATCTCCAGCCCACTTCTGAATATGAACTATTTCCTTTAATTTCTTTGTTAGACATCTGTTGAGCACATAACATGCAGTTGCAACAGCTTCTCCCCATAGAGTATGAGGAAGCTTCTTCTCTTTCAGCATGCTTCTCACCATATCTAGCAAAGTACGATTTCTTCTTTCAGCAAGACCATTGTGTTGAGGAGTATAGGGAGCAGTAATCTCATGCTCAATTCCATTCTCCTCGCAGAAACTTCTGAATTTTGTAGAGTTATACTCACCACCACCATCAGTTCTAAGAATCTTCAGAGTCTGGCCACTCTGATTCTCAGCCTTCAGTTTAAACTTTTTGAATTCATCAAATACCTCATGTTTGAACTTTATGAGAGATACCCATGTCATTCTGGTGAACTCATCAACAAATGACACAATATTTATTCCCTTCAGTCGATGCTACTGGAAACAGACCGCACACATCATAATGTACTACTCCCAAGGCATGTTTTGCTCTTGGAGCCACTTCTGATGCAAAAGGTAATCTTGGTTGCTTCCCTTCCATGCACACCTTGCATGACTTTTCAGGCTTCTTGATTGTAGGAATTCCATATGCCAAATTCTTTGATTTCAGATGCCCTAAACTTTTGAAATTCAGATGACCAAATCTTCTGTGCCACGGCTCACTCTCCTTGACAACACTTGTTGTACTAAGACATTCAGAGTCTGCAGTTCTAACATTCACCTTGAATGTTTTGCTCCTCCCCTGTTCTGAATCCATAATCAGCTTCTGATTACAGTCATACAGCTTCAGAAGATTGTCCTTCATGGTAACTGAAAAATCTTTCTCAACCAGTTGTCTCACACTCATCAGATTACTTTTCATGTCAGGCACATACAAAATATTCTGGATCACTGCTGCTTTCCCATTGTTTAGAATGATTATGACATTTCCCATACCTTCTGCATTGAGGTATTTATCATCAGCACATCTGATCTTTGTACTCTTCCCAGAGTCAAAATCAACCAACCACTTCTTGTTTCCAGTAAGATGGTTTGAACACCCTGTGTCCATATACCACCATTCTGATGAATTCAGATCATCGGGTTCAGAAGACAACAATAACACAGGTTCATCATCAGACTCTCCTCTTGCTATATTTGCTTCTTCTGACTTCCTTTCTTTGTTGGACCAACAATCTCTGACATAACGACCAAAGTTCTTGCAACAGAAACACTGAACATTCTTCTTGTCAGACTTCTCTTTTCCCTTCTGGACATTCTTCTGCCTATCAGAATTTGAAGCTTCTGACTTTTGACCACCATTAGTTTTCTTCCTGGCTTCTGACCAAGTCAGCTTCTGATGCTTCTTACCAGAAGTTACCTTCAGAGTCTGCTGCTCTACTTCCCTCTCAGAAGTTCTTGCAGTCATACACAACTCATGCGCCTCTAAACTACTTTGCAGCTCTTCAACTCTCATGGTGCTCAGATTTTTGGAATGTTCAATTGCTACAACAATGTAATCAAACTGAGAAGTTAAAGATCTCAAGATCTTCTCAATAATTACTTGTTCAGACAGAGTTTCTCCACAAGCTTTCATCTCATTAGTGATCAGAATCACTCTAGAGATGTATTCAGAAACCTTCTCGTTGTCCTTCATGTTGAGATTCTCATATTGCTTTCTGAGAGACTGAAGCTTCACCTTCTTCACTGATGCGTCACCACTGCAACATCTGATCAGTGTGTCCCACGCAACCTTTGCTATTTCAGAATCAGCAATCTTCTCAAACACATTCACATCCACACATTAATGAATGTAGAACAACGCTTTCTGATCTTTCTTCCTCAGCGCCTTCTGTGTTATCTTTTGGTCCTCTGTTGCATCTGTTTCTAACAGATTATAACCATCAGTAACAAGTTCTAACACATCTTGAGAGCCAAATAACACGCACATTTGAATCTTCCAACGATTTCAGTTTTTGCCATCAAATACTGGAAGCTTTGAATGAATATCGTCACCGTTTCCGTTCATCTTCTACCTTATGCAATTTACACAGAATTTCCCAAATCAATATTTTCTCAAAACTCCCAGAATCAAAATATTGTAATTCTTAATCACAATATTTATTTTCCCGTGGGTTTCAAACCGGAGCTCTAGATACTAAATATTAGAGCACAAGAAAGATAAAAGACAAAAGAAATATTTACTGATAGCTTTAAAAATAAAGATTTACAATGAATTACAATAACCTACTCTACTGGACTATTTATACACACAAATTAAATTTAAAATATATTTTCTACAAAAATATAAGAAAATATAAGATTTATATTTTCTAACAAAAATATAAGAAGATCTAAAAGATATTTCTAAATATAAATTAATATCTAATTAAATATAAATAAATTCTAACAACTTTTGTTGCAAATGAATGAAAAGAGGGAAGAAATAACAACACAAATCCTACTGGCCAGCCCACAAACGCCTCATCGCCCACCATCAAAGATCCACGAGAAAGCCAACCTCAATCGCAGTCGGACACCACTCAGCCTCTCCGCCCCCCAAACGGCCGGTGCCAGCCACCACGCCGGATTCGTGAACGACCGCTCGCATCCGCAGCCAATACAATTCAATCGCAGATGCATCACCGCGAACAACAACCAATCGCACCGCCGTTCTGCAACCCCTCCCTCCGATGACGCCACACCGTCCATGGGTCTCCACCAACCACATGAACCAGACCGCAGCTTCGATCGCAACATAACAACAGCGTACTACCCGCAACTAAACCGCAAAGACAAACGTACCTACAATCCGACAGCAACACCAAAACGCGCGGATCCAACCAAAACCGCCAATCACTATCCGCGGATCACCAGCTTCGACACAGACCCAAATCGCTGCCGCCATCTTGCTTCCAATCGGTGAGTTTGACTCACTTCTCTTTTAATTCCACGATCCATGTATTCCATATGATTTTCTTGTAAGAATTTGAGGAAAAGGTGAAAGATTTTGGGGTAAGAGGAAAACAGAGATTTCACCGTGAAAATGGAAAAAGAGAGTAAAGGTAATGTTTTGTTTGGTTCTAATCTCTTATTTCTACTTATTTTTGCATTTTGTTTTATTTTTTTCTTTTAAATATATTGCCATGTGTCACTTTTCTAGTGGTCATAATTCTTTTAAGAAATTTATAACTTGAGTCAAACAAAGACACATTCTTCAGTACATTACTTTATTACTATTATTATTTTATTATTTTTTTAACTACTTTTTATTGTAGTTAATTATGGTCTTAGAAACATGGGCCTTGAACTCTAATGGTTGCTATTTGCAACCTGAGCCTTTTTATTTATGTTAACATATAGTTAATTTTTATTTAACTAAGTTGGTTATTGTTAGATAGACAATTTTGCTTCGTTTGAATTTAAGTAGTTGTAGTAATTATTTTAGCCTTGTTAATTTTTAAGCTATTTAATTTAGTGTAGTTATTTATAATAATAGTAATAAGAGGATACAAAACACTCTTTTTAATCAAACTAATTCTAACATTTTCATACAAATAAGAGGATACACATCCTCGAATGATTATTGGGTCGACTTAACATCTACTGATTTATTATTCAAAATCAATAATTAAAACTAATGCAACTCACTAAATATTTCATCCGCGTCCTTCATGATGAGCGACACGTAGCCATTTCTGACCACGTGACGATGATACTTTGACAGACTCCCTCTGTATCCTTCATGACGAGCGACACATGGTCATTCTATGGCCACATGATAAGAAGACTTTGACAGACTCCCCCCGCTCTGTGCCCTACCATATTCGTCATCAATCAAACACTTAAAACAGCTAACCAACATCAAATCAATTTTCTACTAACATAATCAAAATCAAGATATTTTCGAAAAAGGATTAAGGAGAATTACTTTCAAAGTTAACTGTGAACCGCGTCTACGATCACTCTTTTACAAAACCCAAACAAGATTCAAAGATAAATTCGAAAGCAATTCTACGCAATCTTATAAAAAACACCAACCAACACTTTGAACTACGAATTGGGACTCTGATTCCTCATAAGAGGATGCGTAGGCATACGACTAAAATCGTGGCGAGTTCCCCTAATAAAAATTAAAAATCCTATTTCCTAAGTCGTGATTCTAAACCTTAGTATCCTTGTGAACAAGGTATATAAACGATGCCTAACACCTTTCCTTCGTCTAAGAACGAGTCCAATAACTTAGAATCTCTAACCACATTAGGGTTATCCTTTATATTCCCTTCTCAAAGATAAAAATTAAGGGTGATGACTCTCAATTTTAAACCGGTTACAACACATGCATATATGTGGATACTTAAACAAGCAAGTAAAATGAGATAAGAGATGATAAAATATCAAGCAAGAATGATAATACATCAAGTAACAAGTGAAGAATAAGGATGGAAAAACACCAATCACATATCAAGTCATGGAAGAAAAGAAATGAAGCATACAAGAGATGGAAATCTCCTAACTTAAGAGTTATCCTACTTAGACAAGTAAGGAAGCAAATAAGTAATGGTTAGCCAACAAAAAAACATAGCATGAAAGCACATCAAAATATCATGAAGTTTCTGGTCCTTAGATGTTATATGTCCTAAACTACACTAATAATGGTAATAAGGGTCAAGAAGAAGAAGAAAATACCTAACTAGGAAAATGGGAAAGCAATTAATCACTTAGAAGACACAAACTCAAACAACTTCAAAAGTATTAAGCAAATAAGAGACAAGAAGTGGACACATAAGTATAAACAAGCTATAATACATCACAAGTTATCATCAAGAGGTCACTTGTTAGCAAACATCAATTGAACAAAACAAACATACATGGTGAAGAGAGATGAAACTCAAACAAGTTGCAAGAAAAGACTTAAGTCCCAAGTAAGTAGAAAATAATGAAAGGGAAGCAACATTGCATCAAAATAAATATTAGGACATGTCAAACGATCCCCTAACGGTCACACACAAAAGTTAAGGACTTAAAAGTCACAAGAGAAGTCATACAAGTCAGTACACTACCATATGAAGCATTATGTGTTTAAGTGTCTAGTTTATCATGGCACAAAGAAGTGAGGTCAAGTGAAATAGATGAAGAAGTGTACAAGTCATAAGTGAATACATCAAGGACTAATCATCATCACATAGAAATGCTTGCAAAAGATTCCCAACAAAATCAAACAAGGAAAAGATCACAAATAATCCTAAGTGGACATAAGTCCTCATGCAATGCTAACAAGTAAAAAAATTTAAAGAAATGGGATATGAGAATAAGGAGAGACAAACATAGATATTTTATTCTATTAGTACAAGTATCAAGATCAAGAGGAAGTTTAAATAGGCATTGAAAACATGGTACAAACAAAAAAGCACACAAGTATCATTCAAAATTGTGAAGTGAAGTGAATACAAGTGTGTGAGAAATTAGACATGGATTTAAGCATTTAAATGAGTGAATTAATAAACTAAGACATGGTGTTAATACACATAAGATACCTCAAGACATAACAAAATCATCATGGCAAAGCATTCTCAAAGATAGAGACAAGTGGGTGACAAAACTAAGACCTAAACATGCTCCTAATGGCACACAAGCTACAAGAGAGGGATAGATGAAGGGGGATCATGGTAGGAGGACGTAAAACCATAAAATTCAGAGGAAAATGACCTATAATATCACACATTAAAGTATCACAAGCATTGATATAAGATATCATAGTGTAATCTCAAAGAAAGTGTCCAAAGTAGGCAAGTAAGCATACTCAAATTCACACAAGTGTAACATCAATCAAAGGTTCATGGTAGGACCTATAAAGTGAAGTGAGAAGGCTTTAAATCATGGTATACCAAGTGAACACAAGTGAGAAATAATACCCCTAATGGTTGCATAAGTGCATCCCTAAACATTTCAAGAATTAACACAAATTTTCATACAAAGAGACATGCATTGGATCACACATAGAAAATAGTTAGGAGTCTTGAAAAATGATTCAAAAATTATCAAAGTGAAGTGAAGTCAGAGGCAAATGAGTGCTAGAAATTGTGCCTAAAGGATATGTGCAAGAGGTGTTCAAACAAAATCAAACATTAAGCAATAGCACACAAGCATAGGTAAGCATTGAATTGCATATGAAAAATAGTTAAAAGCATAGAAAAATTATGAGAAATTAGACATGGTAAGGTGAAGTCAGAGGCTCAATGTATCATGAACATGTGATACTGTAAAAAGCTTATAGTGAAAGGATAGAGGAGAATCTCTCTTACTTGCCTCATTTTCCTTCTTCTTTTTAACTTAAATGGCTTATGTTTCATCATACACATTCATGCATTTGAGATGGGATCAAGGTGTTCTTGTCTTCATGGTCTTCTTCAAACAGTAGAATATGGTTGAATCGTCAATCAGTGCAAGGAGGGTATAATATCCTCATTCTTTTGGTCGCTCAAGCTACAAATGTTTCTCATGCCTCAAGATATCTCAATTGATTCTTTGTTTCATCAGATGTTTGAATATTGCAAGAGTTTTGAAGTGAATCACATTTCTCCTATCCATTGGCTTTTGTGCCATGGTTTTGACTATTTGAGTGTATGGCTCATTCATTGACCAAATTTTTGAAGCACTACCCAATGCAATTTCTACCTAGGCACTTCCTAGATATGAAATATCACCATCTCACTTCCAATCACTGCAGTGTCACATTGCTACAACATCTGGAAAAGAGGATGGTGGTTCTGCTTCAGTAGAAGAAACTATTTCTAAACTCAAGGAGACTTGTGAGGAATTGGATGAAACCATCAGGAGATGTGTTCTTTTACCTTCCACACTTTATAATTCTGCATAGTTTTATTTTGGTAAAAAGTTTCTGTTCTGTCAGGAGATGTCAAAACATCTGTCGTGATATTGTTTTTGTGTGTTGAGATATCAATCTTGACATCTGATTTTGTGTGTGCCAAAATTTCAAATATGCTATCATAAAACGAGATATAAGTTGATCAAGAATTGCATTTGTACGAAACATGCTCAAATTACATGAAATGCAATAAATAATAATAGAAAACATGTTTGTACACCAAGATCATATACTTCAAATGTGAAAGAATCAATAACATGAAGTCACTATAAGTATATAAATTGATACATATTACAGTTATTAATTAAATTTTTCCGAAGGTAACATTTATGAAATATCATATATTGAGCATATCAAGCATTTGGAACATAAATAATATTGCATTAAGGAAAATGCTTACTTTCAAGGAGAAAAAAGAATAAAATTACCTCAAAGATGAATGGAACGGAGGATACACTCGCATAGTATGAAACTCTCAAATAAAAGTTAGTGTAATATATAAAGTGCATGCAAAGAATATACTTAGGCGATATTTGAGATATCAAGAATCCCCAATTCCATTCGAATGATGAAAAATGGTTCGGTTGCAAGAGGTTTTGTAAAAATATCCGTAAGTTGATATTTACTATCAACATGCTCAAATACAACATCTGCTTTTTTCACACGGTCAAGCAGGAAATGGTGACGAATCTCGACGTGCTTAGTGCAAGAATGTAACATCGATTTTTGGTTAGGTTAATCACACTAGTATTGTCGCACATGATAGGAATACGAGAAAGTTTAATACCAAAGTCGAGTAATTGTTGTTTGAGCCACAAAATTTGGGCACAACAACTATCGATTGCGATATATTCCGCCTTAACCGTTGAAAAAGCCACAAAAACTTGTTTCTTGCTATGTCAACTAAGTAAGGAGTTTAAGAACATGTGACAAGTTCCACTAGTACTTTTCCTAGTCGACTTGTAACCGAGAAAGTCAGAATTGAAATAACCATCCAAACTACAATTGCTTCCTTTGGAATACCAAATCTCATACTT